GATGAAAATGCGCCAAACTCGCATTTAATATTATTTCAATACTTACTCAAAATTCGCCTGACAATGGATTAGAACACTTGTACTATGATTAACCTGTTTCAAAATACACATTTGATCCACTGTACAGTAAGTACCATGCAATATTCTATATAGCAGCTTAAAGGACAGTTTACTTTGGATTATATCATATTGTGTGTGTGTGTGTGTGTGTGTGTGTGTGTGTGTGTGTGTGTGTGTGTGTGTGTGTGTGTGTGTGTGTGTGTGTGTGTGTGTGTGTGTGTGTCGCAGTGATGTCATCCAAATGAGACGTCCACACCCTGGTGTCATCACTCCCTCTGGACAGAGAGGTCATCAAAACAAAGTGAGCTCCAGCTTCATGATGAAGTGGTGCTTACTGTCATTACTTCAGAGTGAGAGGGGGGAGAGAGAGGGAGAACAGTGAGGGGGGAGATATGTGATCATGAAGGGATGTGTTTAAGTGCTACTTATTATCAGGTTATTCGGTTAAAAGACCACTTTTTCTGCAAGTATTGGTACAAAATATAAAAATGTGACAGAACGAGGAGCTCAGGTCAGAATAATTTCATTGCCATTTATATACTGTAGCTTTGTGCATATGACAATAACATGTTTGAATTTGAATGTTATGTTGTGAAGGTAAATAACGCCATCTAGTGGCTGAATAAATAACATCACAGCACTATAAGACTTGAATGCGAAAACACTCAGATCATGCTGCCGATCATTTAAGGAGAAACACTATCTACCTTTTCATGCACTCGTTTTGAGATGGACATATTTGTTTTAAGACTAATGGGAAGAAAACAACCCAAATACAATTCTAGGGTTTTTATCCTTTGTCTATTTGTATCTTTCTCATCAAGATCTTCTTCTACAAGGTCTGTTACATAAACAAATACAAATGATAACAGTGTGAACTCACATTTCCTCCACCTTGTGAGCGGGACCCTGCACCTGTCCCACCACCGTCCCACCGTGGGTGTTCTTCACCCAGCCCACCAGACCCAGGTGCAGACCCTGCTTCTCCGTATACTGCAAGGAGAGGGGAGACAGAGGGGTTAACGTTGTACATAAGGGAACAATTGAGTTTCCTGAGCTTGAAAAGGCTATATTACATCAGGAAAAGTCACTGATCTAGCACCGCGTGAAGCAGAGGTCACATGACTTTTGACTATAAAATACAAACTATATACAAAAAAAAGTCAGTTATTTGAAGTAATGTGCAACCAATTCATTTTTTGAATCATCACAAGTTCACAACTAACCGGGAATGATTCGAAATATCCTATCCAAGCTGTTAGCACCGTCAGAGTTTTCTTATCAGTGGTGTAATGGGCGTTGGACGCGGGGGTAGGCCTACATCTAAAATCATTGCCAGATTGGCAGATTTCACAGTAATTATAATAAAAACGTAGCTCAAGCATTTGAGTGATAGTCGCGCAGAAAGGCTGGATCGGTTCGCTGACAGCCGGTGTTGTGTCAAATTATACACCCACGTCGTGAAATGCACCCCCTGGCCTGNGTGTGTGTGTGTGTGTGTGTATGTGTGGCCTAGCATTACTATACTTGTGGGGACCTAAATCTGTTTACACAGTCACGTGTGGGGACTCGCTTCCCTTATGGGGCACATCTTCCGGCGCAAACTGAAAACTCATCTCTTTCGACTCCACTTCGAGCGATAGAATTACTAACAAAGCACTTATATAGGCTACTAATAAAGGGCTGGCTTATCTAAGGCCAGTTGAGTAGCACTTGAAATGTTTGGCTTCTTAACCTGATGCACTTATATGATTTTGTTTTCTTCAAGGTTGTATCTTCCCGGTCGAATGTACTTATTGTAAGTTGCTTTGGATAAAAGCGTCAGCTAAATGCAATATAATGTAATGTAGCTGTTTTACATTCCAGTCTTTTTGCTAAGCTAGGCTAACCATGTCGTGTATCACTCCCGCAGACTTTCTTAAATCTGGATCTATTCCTTTGAAAGATGATAACTACACATATTAACTAAAGAGGGTCACAATGTTAAGCAGATAAGGGACCAGCTCATGGCAAGATGAAAGAGTGAAAAGCTAAATGCATACATGCAGAGCAGTGGGGGGTTGTGGGTAGTGTAGGGGGTTAATCAACTGGATTATATGTGCTGTGGGCTAATTCATTATGACAGTGCTTTTCGCGTGTCATGGATTTCTTTTTAATAAAGAGCTCGTGGCCTAATGTGCGCTGATGCGTTGAGAAGCTTCCAGTAATTACACCTGGATCCACTGTCGGAGTTTTCTGCTCCAGAGGTGAATTTAATTAGATAAATGTCCGCAGCACACCTCCACACACTTTTAATTAAAATCTATGCTGTCTCCTGTGTGTTGAAACACCAACATAAGACCGAATTTAAGATGCACCAAAAATACAAAAGATTTTAGTGCCATCAGCTCCCAAAAGCTGCCGAGCTCAGAGGATGCATGCAGACATACTTTTAATTTATATCTGGTGAACTACATTAGATTTTAAATTCAGGGGGTGTCCAAATATGTGCCCCATATAATGTATTTAATTATACAAGACTCGCAATTGCACATATATATATATA